TTTGCCGTTGTTGCATTATTCGACCCACAAGGCGTTTAATTTTTTCCCTCAAAATGCTATACTGAAAGTGTCTAGACTGGGGGTGGCTCATAAGCCGAAATCCCTTCGTCGTACGTTGAATCAGGCGGTTTTGCTGTACAATCAGCCGCTGAAAAACTAGCTACCCCGTCCCAAGTCGAGTGGAAAAATTTTTCCTGAACGTTATAGCCTCAGATTTTTTATCACAGTAAAATCAAGAGGATTTAAGTGTTTGTAATGTTCAGCATAATGTTTAATGATATAACTTATTTCCAGGTGGGAAAGGAAAACTAAAAAGTATAGTTTTAAGTAAAGCTTTTTATTTCTATTCGGAAGAAAGTAAATTTAGTTTAATTGCCATTTGTTGTACACGCTTTTGTGGTGGGATTATAAGCGTTGACATATAAAATGGGTTGTACTTGCATCGTTGTGATGATACCCGCGGAGCAAGTGGTACTTGAAGGCTCTGGGGGCACCGCAGCTCGAAATGCCCGACCCTGTTCTACAACAGCTGTTCGCCGGTGCGTGAGGTTTTAATTAATTTATAAAGAGCGGGTAAATTAGTTGTCTAGAGTTTTGTTTCGCCGGTTTCACCCTCTCAGTATTCAGACGCTTCAGGCGCAGGCTAAATGTCCTCAAACTCATTTGGAGTTACCCACCGAATCATATCACACCCCGTCTCGACGAGCCGTTTTTCCCACGGTTCAAGACCCATTTTTGACGCTTTGTAATTTTTAATTTTATAATCAATGAGGGGAGGGGTTGAAAGAAAGTCCACTGATCAGCATTTATTTCTGTATTATGTAATCCATGAATGACCAATCGGATGATCTATTAAATATTAGCATTACATATTTTTTAATTGTTGGGAAGATTTAAGCAAGTAGCAGACATTTGTGTTGACATTAGTTAACATAACAAAACGCCTGGGTTGTTCTCACTCTCTGACATGAGATGAGTTCTCCTCCTCGATTTTCGCTTTTTGGTAAAAAAAGTACATCACATATCGTACTCGCTATGAAATCCCATTAATCACCGTTACATCAAGTTAACGTGTGGCTTGCATATTACATGACACCCGTTTTGCCGTAAATAAGAGATTCTGTCAGCGAATGATGATAACTTACCGGTAGTTCGGTGGGCGAAGACATAGTCAAGAGCGAACAATGCGTTGGGAGGATTCTTCATGAGGCCAGGCATGCCTGTTCGTTTCCGGAGCAATGAGGAGGACTCCCCAATGCTACCCTTGAAGTCTTCTTGAATCTACCACCACTACATATCTTCATCCAGGAAGAAGCTGGCGGCATAATACACAGGCCTGTCCAAGCCATGACTTCACGTGAAAATCCGTAGTTTCTTCGTTACCATATCACAGAACCCAACATTGAAGATGGCGTTTGACAGATCGAAATGATCGGAAACCACTAAATTATGGTTACCACTGTATTTCCGGCGGAGATTGTGTCCATGGAAAGCTGAGTCGCATCAAAAGGCTGGGTTTTATCAACAAAAGGATAGTCATCAAAGGCGACTACCACATCGTTAAGTCCTTAGCGAATTTGGACACGCATTAAAGCCTTTTCAGACCTTGGGTAAAACAATGGTTTGGGCACAGGGCATCTAGGCCAGAGACGCAACCTCTAAGTCTAGAAATTAACCGAGGGCCGTTCAGTCAGGATATCGGTCCTGAACTCTTTTTCAGCATATCAAATGGCCAAAGAAAATTGAGAGAATAAGTGCTCAGTTCAATGGGAATCTATTCTAGGACAGACTTGCGAATGTGGTAATATAAGAAAATGCGTAAATGGTATAAGTGCGTATACCGCAAACTACGAACACATATAGACTCGTAGCAGCAGAAAAAACCCTATAATATTAAGAGTGATATCAATCACAATAAGATATCATTACAAAGAAGACGACATAATCGGATATATGCTGGTACTAAAATTGTTATTTGATGTTTCGACACTGTTACTTTGGTCGTATCAGTCCAACAAAATACACAACTGAGAAACAGGTAGGCGACAAAAATGGCTACCGAACTACAGGTTCATCACCTAATAGGCCTCACCAATCTAACAATTTGTTTCAAAACTTGATTTTTATGTATCAATTTCTTTAGCACACTTTAAAAGTTTGGGCTACTATTGCCTTCATATTTCGTTCGGGGGTAGATCATCAGTTTTTAGAGAAAGAACGAAACCACGAGGATACCTATCGGCCATGAACCCTTTTGCGGAATTCCAAATTACCAAAAAATAAGTCCTCTCTAAAATGAAAACTTCAGGATAGAGGGGGAAAAATTAATTAAACACTACCGCAGAGACTAGCGGGACAAATACTAAACCTAAGATGTGTAAGGAGTAGGACTACTGACGGCACACTGATGACTACGGAGTCGTATAGGCTCGGACCAGAAGAAAAAGCCTGTGCAGATATTTCCAGAAGAGAAAGAAATAGCGGAATATGTCTCTACTGAGATTCCTACTCCTGGAAAAGAAAAAGCCTGAAGGCTACACGGGAGACCTTAATAAAGCTGTACGATTTGATAAAAAGCCTCAAGGACAGAAGCTCTAGGCAATCTTTAACGTTTTAAAGTAACTAGAGATTTCAAATTGGACAAATCATAGCGATAACTTTTGAAACATAAAGAAAAAAGATGCAACTGAATAAAGGACCTTGGTGTTGCATGTGCTGCGGAAGGAAAAACATCTGGCGAAAATATGGCTTATTCTCATATTGAATAACTGTAAACGCCTGGCGATTATCCGTAGCGCGTGAAATTACTCGGCACAAAACCGTTCTCAACTTGGAAATCCGGCAAAAAGGGTGATCGACTGATTGGAAAAATCATTCCCGAATCGTCTATGGGAAAAGTTTCAACAACTGAGAATACAGATGATTTGAAAATATGAAAATCGTATTTGGAAATACACAGGTCATTTATTGATTAGTGAACTAGAAATGATGATTTTATCGAAGGGTGTCCAACCCTTCTCGCCTTAGGTAAGCCGCTTATCGTGTATACGGAATCAGATGTCCTGACAGCGACTGATTGTGCAGCAAAACCGCCGTTGGGCCCCGATTCAACAGACGACGAACGGATTTCGGCTTATGAGCCACCCCAATCTAGAGACTTTCAGTATAGCATTTTAAGGGAAAAAATTATACGCCTTGTCGATCGACTAATGCAACAACATCCGACTATTTTGGAAATTTCAGAAGTCCGATTGCTTAATAACTTCCTTTTTCCTGATTGAGAAAACAATTCTGCAAAAAGCACTACTTTTCTTTTTCAATTTTTACCGACTTGTTCTGTTTGAGATTTACTCGCTAAGATACCGTTTTAAGGGGTGGTTTCCCTTTTTTATTTTTTTACACCACTTAAATCCATACTATACGAATTTTAATTTTGACATTCATTTCATTTTGAAAAGAGTCTCTTCGTTCTGTTTAAGTATAAAAGTTTAAGGTTACAATAGATCAGCAGTTTTTCAAGGTATTAGTTGTTCAAAGGGAGGCCAAAAAGTTGCTCCTTTTTCGGTACTATTTATTCAAAACTTTATTTGATCTATTATAACAGACTTTTTAATTGAATTCTTCTTTACATACTGCAAATTCGAAAGCTGGATTTTCAAAAATAACGAAGTGTTAATTTTTGTCAAAAATGTGAAGCTGTTTATTTTACACCTTTTCTTTAACAAAAGAATTTATTTCTCCGATCCTGGATATTTTTATTTTTAAAAAACTCTCACAAACGATCATTTACCCATTATTGCTCCGCAAAATGAAACAAGAATCCATTCTATATGACGAAGGGTTTTAGAGAAAAGTGTACCAAAAAGTTGAAAAATCCAACTTCTCAGGAGAAGGGATTTTCTGATCTAACTCGGCGTACTCCCATCGCCAATTTACAACATAAAAACCTTACACACCGATTCTTCTTGCCATTTGATACATTTATGCAAGTTTGGAAAGTAGTTTTTGACACAGAATGTAAAAACAAGAGTCTTCAAACAGCTTAAGGAGTGGCGAATTATACATTCATCAAGGCACAAAACAATTGATTTGTAATTATCAAAAAGTATTTGATTCATTTTTAAAGCTTGGCATCTCATGGCACCAAATCCATTCTATGGAAAACAGGCTGTAGTTTAATTTAAAAATTATCATTCGGATCCCAAAAACGGTCGCTACTCCCTTAAAGCTAAAGACATAACTACTGGGTTTTGTGACTTCCTGCCGATTTTGGCTTTCCGACCAATTTACGATATAAAAACAGACAGACTCTTCTATTCAGTAAATAGACGGTGTTTTAGTTGGGCAGATAATTTTTGAAAAATATCATATATAAAAGACGACAGCCTTCGGTGTGAAGGCGTAGAGTTCATCAAGGCAAACAGGTTGAACTTTCAGAAAATTATTTGAGCCTCTTTTAAAGTTTCGAATTTCACGGAACCATTTTCATTTTATACAAAAAATGTTGTAGTTTAATAACATAAAATGCAAGTTTTGGTCTGAAAAAGGGTTACTACCCTATAAACCTTTCTTCCTGCCTACTCGCATGCAACAATCCATGTACGATTTTCTAACACTAATCAAAGTATACATATAATGAAATATAAAGTAAGCAACTAATTGCTAATACAGGAAATGTTAATTGACTTTTATTATTAGCGTATATTCTGAATATTAAAATGAAATAAATATATGAGGGTGCCGAATTTTAAATTGTTCTGTGATGGGAATAACTTTTGTTCATGTATCTGTCTTGTGAAGTGTCGATTAAGTGTTTTATCAACAATCGACTGTATGACCTCTACGTTCCCAACACTACTTCATAACCATCCTAATTCGGGAATCGGACCGACGAAGAAAAGGACAGAGAGAGATAGAGAGACAAACAGGCGAAAGTGATTTGGACGTAAATTATTAGCTTTCAAGCTTGTTAATAATAAGTATTTAACGAATTTCTTTACCTTTGTGCGGGAGGTCGTCGGGCGGCGATGACGTCGTCCAGGATGTCGCGTGGCCGAGGCCGTGATGAGTCAAAGGCTGGTGATGAGGAGGTATGAGCCCCTGCTCGGGCCTGGACAGTCCTTGCAGCATCCCTGCAGACAGACAACACTGCTCTTACCACCCAACACTTCTACCGCCGGACACACATAAATTTCTTTTCTTTGGATATACCAAAATAAGCGATTTAGGACGTTTTGTGCATCTAAGAAAGGGGGAATATTTTAGGATGGCATAGGAAACTCGATATTTTTCTTTACGATTAACCATACTATCTTTAAAATAGTGCTAATCGGCGGTCATTTTCAAAATACTGTCGAACACATCGACCTTTAGGTACTTACAAATCAGCCAGTCACTTAGCAGTCTTTGTCCTAAGATCGTAGAATCAACGCAGAACATTATTTTATGGGAACATACAATTTTATAACGGAAGGGACAAGTTTGTTATGTTAGCCCTTTATGGCCTAATACTGTCTTAAAGCAAGACTAACACAAGTATTTTGGTTAAAAGGTTAAATCCTGCAATAGTGATAGAGAGTTTAGATTAGAGCCAAATAAATCAGTGTTGCCAATACATGGCATGAAACATCGAAGAAAAAACACTGCCCCCCCCCTAAAACCACAGGGTTTTCTCCTAACTTTAAACAAAATCGTTAAAGTTGATGTTGTCTTGAGAAACCTCGGACAAGAAAGGGTTAAATTATAAACTGGATATGAAAAATTGATGTTTAGCTAATCGATACAAGATGCAGCGGAGGGGTGAATAGCCATGTTGGAGAAGATTTCAATATGGAGATTGTAGATTAGAGCCAAATAAATCAGTGTTGCCAATACACGGCATGAAACATTGGAGTTAAAACATGCACCCGCCCTAATCTCACAGGGTTTTCTGCTAGCCTTAAACAAAATCGTTAAATTTGGTGTTGTCTTGAGAAAAGTTGTACAAAAAATGGTTAAGTATAATTATCGGCAGATCTCATATTTTGCCGCAAGGGTAGTAAAAATATTTCTCTTCTTTTTCGACGGAATCGGGAAATTGTCATCCGAAAGCGACCGTTGTTTATAAGCGGAGCTTTTTTTTTTAATACCGTTCTTTTTCTTTGTCGAGTAATAAAATCGGTGAATCATCAAAAATCGTCTCCTCCGAGGGTGAAATGAGTGGTAAGTGACGTTGATAAATGAACGTGAGAAAGAAGAGAGGGTGGAAAGGGCGCGGAGGTTTTCTGCTCGCGAAGTTACGGCAGCCTCAGCCGAGAAATCGTTTGAATTTATCGGATCCATTCAACTGGGGGAAAGCATCCAATTTTTTCCAGAATCGTACCGAAACTGCGGACTATTCACGTCGTGCCTGCAACTGTGACTTAGAACAACGAAAAATGATTATTTTTAAATGTTTTATTTAACCAATTTTAACTTAAGCAGAACCCTTAATGATTATCTTTTAAATAATATTAATTTAAGTTAAAAAAATTCAAATGTTTTGAAAACATACAAAATTCATGACTGGAAACTTAATTGCTGTGTGACTTATGAAAGTATGCCCAGCAGTTATTCAGAAATCGTGAGATGCGGTCTGGTCTCGATTATCGGTCACTAATCACCACACATATGACCAGAAGGTTTGTATTTGATTTTAGGTTATTATGCATGATCGCTTCTCGCCAAGTTCAGAGGTTGGTATAATGATTGAGATAAAAAGGAAAATTAATGGCGTATGCAGGGTGATGAGCAGTTTGGTCGTTTCCGATCATTTTCGATGATTCTTGAGTGATCAAGTTTGTATTCTTGTGGTTGGTCAGTTAAGCTTATTTTTGTTTTTATTTTTTCTAAAGAGAATAAATTATTGTATGAAAACCAATTACAGGCCTAATATCACCAAACGTCACGTAAAAATCTATTTGTTTTTGTGTGGCCATACCCAACACTGAAAATTGTCAGACTAAAATGATCGACACGACCAAATTACTGTATTCAAAAATGTCAACAAGAGCAATATCTAAATATTAAAAGCCAAAACTAATTTTAGGCTTAAAGAGGCGATAGAACAACTCCACGTGGAAATCCATTGATTTGATCATGTCCGTACAACGGGACTGAATAATCAGATGGCGACTGACAGACCGAAAATTGCTAGTGTTGCCAGACCAAAATGATCTGTAGCGAACAAATTTCAATCTCTTCTTCCGTCTCTAGTTGAAAAAGGTGGAAATGTTCCAGAAAAGAGGGGAAAATGCCGGCCAAGGTATGACGCATACAGATTCCAACGAAGCATTAGATTTGAACGCTTAATGAAAGCGTAGGGGGCCCTCGCTCTGATCCGATCCATAAAGATGAGCTGAATAAAATGCTTCCCGGCCGTAAATAATACAATTAATTACACTCTTAGCGAGAACGATTGACGGACACGACTCAGAACATCGTTGGCCGTTCCATCTCACATAACAAATTCTAATCTGAGAGCAAATCATATAAAAATTATTCACATACAGTAACACTAATAGGGGAAAATGTACACAACAAATAAATAGTGAAAAAGCGAACTGAATTGTCAATTATTTGATTATAAGCAGTTGAAACTTTTTTATGAAACTTTGAAACATTCTTTTTAAATATTGATAACCAACCATTTGCATATTTTAATATACCCTCTTTGATGTAACTAGTTAAAAGCATTCAACATTGTAACATTAAAAACGGGATCAGATACTCGCCTATAAGTTTTATAGATTGTATATTTCAAATAAAAATTATTGCAGTTGAAGTTAAAATGTTAAAATTTCAATTTTAAGCCATCGTTAAATGGTATTTCAACTTAATAAACCTTTCGTTTTAGTACAAAAAAGTTATTATATTGACAAAACGTTAAAAAAATATAAGAAGCTTTTTCGAGAAAAACGCAAATACCGTAGGCTTAACAAGACTCACCGAAACTAAATTTTATGACAACGGTGACAACATCCGTTTATAGGCAATATTCAAAATTTGGACCATGGTTCCACCGGTTTTTTTCTCGAAAAAAATCGACGCAAAGACCACTTTTCGTATATTAGGGCGCGGTAATTTTTTCAATCATTTTTAATCGGACTGAAAGACCAAAAGCGCTTAAACGGATTAGTTTGAGGTTTAAAAATCGATTCCTACCAATAAAAACAAAATTACTTTGACAACTCAAATGCTACATTTTTATGTGCAATAAGTCTATTTCATTCAATATTTTATAATTGCTTAAATATAACCACCGCTGTGACCTACCGATCGGGGCGTCCGCCGCGTACTTTCCATGGTAGAGGTCCTGAGTTCGAATCCCGGCACTGCCCATGGAATTTTAATTAGTTCTGACATCTCGTTGGACTGACAAGTGAGAAAACTTTAAAATACAATCGTTCAACTTTCCATTAAGAGTATGTGGAAACAAACCCCAGGCATATGGCGAAGAGATTCATAGAAGGGCCATCCGCAAGACTTACGAATTACTTGAGGAACAACAGAACCAGGATTCTGATTAAACTCCTGACAGGCCACTGCCGCCTTAAAAGGAACATCCACCGGATAGGAGTACAGAAGAAACACTATGCACTACCAAGAAGAAGAGGAGACCGCAGAACACATTTCATGTTTCTGTGAAGGTCTGTATAGGTGCAGGTTCTTGCAACTAGGACAGGAAAAACTGCAAGGATGATCCTACACTAAAGGGTCGCTGGCAAGACTATGGAGGTTGATTAACAACCTGAACCTAGCCTGTGATTTGTAAAATGAAAGGAGTACAGTAGATCTGCTCAGGTCGAGGTGCAGAAGGCCCTATGGCTACCACTTTTAATCTTATGTTACAACACAAGAGGAATAATTAAGTCTTTTTAAAAATTCTAATGACTGCAATAATAAACCGTTCATGTTAACAAGAGTTTCTATGGCCCGATAACCCTAATGCTTAGATAATTGGCTTCTACACTGGTTTAAAATGGACGAAAATGAGGAAGAATTTGTTTCAAAACAGTTTACAAACTTTTTATGCGACTTGTACAGTATTCACAGTTATTACGAAATATTTCAATAAATTATAACACAGCATTAATTACTAATGAAATGATTTGTGGCTATGGTTCATGTATTTTTTGTACGGTTGATTTTCCTTTTTATAATCTATTAAACTTCTTTTAAATAATTAACATAAATAATGGTCAACTCGATCTAATCTCTATATCTAAATTCGACAGCAATGTTCAAAAATGCTGAATTGATGTTTCTGATACCCTTAATGGCAAAAGATATTTTTTTTTTAAGTGACCGGTTGTTTAATAATTTGTTGGAGTCGTGAGTAGCGGTCAAGCATGAGGAAGGTTAGTAAAACACCTTTTTCATTTTTTTGCTGAAATTTCGACCTTTATTCCGGTCATCTTCAGGGCATAAAGTGTGGTGCGATTCTTGTGGTGTCATATTGGTTTTGTGTAAAATTTTTGGGGACTACTGAATTTGTTGGATTTGAATAATACACGACTAAATACATGTTAATTTATGGGGCGAGTAAAAAATATCCTTGTGTCATTTTTAACTGTTCAATTTTAACCGGGTTATTTTTCTTCTGTGACAAGTCCGGTATAAAATGGATATTAACAAATTTTTAAAAATTGTGTGTATATTTGTTTGTAAACGAAAGACTGTTAATGTCAAAGTTTTCTATTGAATGGATAAAAACTGAATTAAATAAAAAATGGAGGCTTCGAGAGAGAAATGGCTATAAAAAAATGAATAATTATAAAAAATTGAATTTTTTTTATGTGCATGACAAAGTTTCATCTTAAATGTTTCAAAAGGTTAGTAAGCTGTTTCACATGCGTATAGACAAAATGAAAAGTGTGAATTGATAAAGTGTGTTCTATAAAAAACTTTCTATCAAAATGTAAAAACACGTACCTTCGCGAAATTGTTTATTATTCAAATTATGTTTTATTATAAAACTATTTATAAGCAATACAATCAGAAATAAGTTCCAAAAAAAAGAGAATGCTGGCATTTTACAATTTCATACAAATAATCAAATAAAAAATAAACTATTGTTAAGTACCGATGGTTCTGTTTAAACTGTTACATGTATCGACCATTTTTTTACTCAAGAATAAACTGGAACTTGGTACTGTCTGAACGATGAAGAGACAAATTCAATTGTTACTGCCAAGCTTTCGATCTAAACAAACTTAAATGTGTCAACACATCGAGATATTTTTTTTGTAAAAACTTAATTATGTCTATCTATTGTTCTGCCCTGCTGATGACCTTAAAATAGGCCGAAAGCTAGGTTATCATCGTCAGTGCAAAGCAAACTTAAATATATATACACATTGACATAATTAAGGTTATTGTTTTCCCTGATGATGATCTTACAATAAGCCGAAAGCTTGGCCTTCATCATCAGGTCAAAACAAACTTAAATATGTCTACACATTGACATAATTAAGGTTGTTTTTTTTAATAAAGCCTTTATTATGCCAATGTGTAGACATATTTAATATTGTTTTCCCTTGATGATGATCTTAAAATAGGCAGAAATCTTAGCTGTCATCATCCGGTCTAAACAAACTTAAATGTGTCTACACATTGACACAATTAAGTTTTTTTTTCATAAAACGTAATTATGTCAATGTGTAGGCATATTTAATATTGTTTTTCCCTGATGATGACCTTAAAGTAAGCCGGAAGCTTGGCTGACATCATCAAAGCAAAACCAACTTAAAGATGTCTACACATTGGCATAATTAAGTTTTATTTAAAATGACCTGATAATGACCTTAAAATAGGTCGAAAGCATGGCAGAAAGAATTGAATTTGGTTCAACATCCATACCATAAAGGTCTAGATTATTCGTGACCAATGCTCTTAAAAGTCATATGTGGATTCGATCGACCAACTTTTATGATTTTTACGAACAGTAGAACGTAAGGATCGGATTTGTCTATTTTAGAAGTAATTATCGCTGTAGTTCACATATTCAATCTTCTTCAGGGCTAATCACATTTTCGATAATTTATTCCTGCAAAAGTTCGGATATCCATTTAAAATCAGTCTTTTATCATTTAAAATTGGATGAAAGTAAACAAGAATAATGTAAAACAATGGTACTTGGAAGCTTGGCTAATCACAACAGAAATTAAATGTAAAATAGATTACAAATCTTATCCTTACATTCAAATTATTAAACGTTAATGTTTTATAGACCCGTTAAAGGTTTTGACGTGTAAATAAATAATTTAATCGCGTCGGAAGATTTTTGTTGTATTTTAAAAGTGAATTTATATTTTTCCATGAAAAATCGCACGTAGAGAAATAATGTGGAGCCAAATTGTAGTTTTTTTTTCCCCATGGGGTCGTAGTAGTTAGTAGCATGATAAAAGTTCTTTATCGGTATCGAATCGGATTAATAAGGTATTAAGTCGAATCGGATAAAAAAGGAGAAAAAATAATTTATAAAAAAATGAATCCACTTTTCATGACTGATTTGGTCGTGGAAATGGTTCTGGTCTGTGGACGGAGGGAGGTGTCCAATTTGCCTATCCGATCCCTTGGATTAAGTCGTTAAGGAACGGGATGAAAACAAACGGTCCGACCCCCCGGTGGATCATCCGGTAGCCGGAGGCGCGGTACAACCCTGTTTACACGGCCACTTCCTTCCTACCGCGGTCGCCCGGACTCCGATTTATAGCCCCCGATACCCTTTTCCCATTCATTTTAAAATTCACGCTACGATAACCCTCGGCTCTATTATTGCACAAAATATATGTTTCCCTCTTTCGAGAAAGGAGCGAGACTCCATGATATATTCCAGCTCCAAAAATTTACTCATCAGAAATAAAAAGTAAAAAGAAAAAAGTGAACCGGGATGTAAAAAAAAAAAAAAAAAAAAAATACGAGGGTAGCATTGTAACTAGGTGTATATAAGCAATGGTACCCTCTTGAGTACGCGGAAGTCGAGTGTAGTGCGGTGCCGAAGCATGGGACCCCATGGGGATGATACGGTAAAGGACGTCGTGACAGTCGAAGAAATCGCCCGCCGAAAGTCAAAGATAAACAAAAAGGGGAAAAGTGTTTTGGAGGAAAGGAGGAAAAACGATTCTCTCTAATATATGATGAATGTCTGGACTTACTTATTTAAAAGAAATAAAGGAGTGTTGATAAAATTCGCTAGGAAGTGGTCCACTGAACACTAGAACACATATCGCGTAACGAACCACGTGGTTGAGGATGCTGTTGTGTCCTGGCGGTTCTACCTTCTCCCCACAAGCACTAGACTGAGTCTGTTGCCGTTTATGCCATTGCTGTCGCTGGAAGGGGTGGCTGCGTGAGGCGTGGCGTCGCCCGGTCCCGCCTTTTCGCCCTCTCGCCGCCAATCCGTCGGCTCGGGTGCCGTCTCGGGGCCAATCGGCCTCCCAGTTTACATCGATCACGATGGCCATTCGTGCGGAACGCGCTCGCCTTCGCCCCCCAGTCTTCCATCGGCGAGGGAAGAGGATCGTGCTTCGCCCCCTCTTCGCCGCCCTTTCTCACCCCTCCGCGCCCGTCCGACGAAACCCATTCAAAAACCGTCCGCGTTTAAAGCCAAGGACAAAGGACGGCTTGGGTCCGTCCGGTCTCGCTCTCCGGCTCCCCTACCACCCTTTCGCCGACACGATAAATTTCATACCGACTCCTAAATGGTTTTCTTTCCCATGAACGATTTAAAAACTGCCGTGTTTACATTTTTTTTTTCGCCGGGATACATCCGCTATATCCTTGTCTCTAACTAACCGTCAAATTCAATTCTGTCTGGCTCAAGAATTATCAAGCCGGACAGGTCTAACAAGCTCCCGAGCCAACGAGATCACCTCAAATCTTGGCCGGAACTGTCAAAACACCTTAAAAAACTGGAATCTTCGAATAAATAGGTCCCGGGTTAAAAGGGTAATACGGGCAGCAGATACACTTGCTAAAAAAGGCACAACTCATAAGCCCAAATCCATTTTGTGGCACAAACTACAGCCACATTAAAAGAGAAATTGCGGTAACTAAAGAACACAGCAATGCTGACAGCTAAAACCAGGCATGAGCTAAAACTCTACTCGCAAAAATAATGGAAGAAAGAGGAAACACCTTTAAAACCAAAATATTAACAGATGACCAATATCGATTATGTCAGTCCTATGCAAGTGCCCCGTATGGCTAGGCAAAGGTTATGGAATGGAAAACAGCAATTGAGATATACTTGATAAGGAAATCTTCCAGGAAATCCATTAGCACAATAGACGACAGTTTAGTTTAAGTACTAATCCCTACGACTTCATATAGTAAAAAAAAATCAAAACCGAAAAACGTCTAATACACGATCGAAAATGTCAATTTTATTTATTTATTTTCAACAATCATAAATAGGGTGTCCCTTTTCATATGGACCAACCCATTATTTTGTAAACGAAACAAGATATAAAAAAAAGGACATCGCCCTTTTCTTTTATTTTTAAGTATGTGTAAAGTTTTGATTTGACATTTTTATTTTATTTGTCATTGGACTCTGTGTGGCATGATTAACAGACTTTTAAAATATAAATTTCCAAATTATATGAATATTATTTACCCATGCCTGAAAAAAAGAACCTTCTCAATATCTTTGAATGAAACCCAGACCTTTTACGATTACAGCTGTAGTGCCCCAGGGGTCAATTTTGGGTTCTATACTTTTTCACTTTATATAAATCCCATAATATGCAAAAAGAAAGAGCCACGACATCGTTCTCTGCAGCTCATCACATCGTACCGCTGTGCTATTAAAAATCATAAAATTTATCGACGGTTTTTGCAAAAGATGGAATCTAAAAATCAATACAGAGAAAACTGAAGCGGTCTTGTTATCTTTGATGATTGTTAAATGAGTTGATGAGAAAGTGTTAAATGCTTAGGTTTAACTTTAGAGAACAAATATTTCTCAAAGCACATTTTTTACACAAATTTGGCTAATCGGAGTAAAGTAGCTATTAAATCCCTATTTTCAATCCTATGCCGAAAAAAATCCTCATTTACAAAATAAATCGTAATAAAAAACTTTTTGTATGCCGCCCCAGCTTGGAAATTACCTGCACAATACGACAAGTATGCCTTACTTATTTAACCAACGAAATAGTAAAAACGATGGAAAAATATTTTAAGAGATTAACAACCCAAATCCATTTTGTAGAAATATTGTATGGTATGATACTAATATCCCTACAAAACACAAAATTCTGTGATATGGTTTCAGCTCGATAGATGGCCCAGTGTTCCAACGTATTCAAGTATTTTTTGCATCATCGATTCCCTTCCCTATGGAAAGATAGGCACTTAAGGTCCTTTGCTTGGCCAGCATGTCTCATTTAACCCCATTGGATTTTTTTGGGGAGTTATCTTAAAAATCAAATTTATGGAAATTTACAGCCCACAAACAGCCGGCTGAATTAAGTGAAAGGATCCAAAAAGCATGTAGTGAAATTGACGGAGGGTCGGTCAATAGCATGTGCTTTAACGGAGGAATGTAAAAAAATGCAGCGATGAGTGCTTATGAAAGAACTTTTTCTAATTTATACATTTTTCGTTCTTTTATACACTGTCGTTCACAATAGTTCATCGATTTTTTACTTTTCTAATTGCTTTTTTAATGTGTTAATTACGTAAATTTTGTTAATTCATTTTTTCTGAATTTTATGTTTTAAAACTGCCAAACATTGGGTAAGAAAGGAAGAAGGTGAAAGACAAAAAGTCTGAATGTGACGAATCCAATTATTCTAGGCCAAAAGTGGATTAAACAGTACCATGAGAATGGTCGAGAAATTACTACAAAGACGTCGTTTTAATTATTAACCCAATTTAGCTAAATAAGGCCTGATCTGTGTTTGGACAGGTTTAAAATTCAGGTTATGAATTTTTAACTATGAAAAAAATTCTGTTTTTTTCTTTTATTTTTCCCAAATATTCAGTTTGATTAGAAATGATAAATGATGGAGTGAGTGTGCTGTTCAATACTTTTTAAAAAAGGATAGTTCCTACTCACAGTAAGTTGTTTTGCAACGATCCGGATTTCGAGCATTTTGGCTCATCATCAGGTTGTAGAAATCCTTCAACCTGATGATGAGCTAAAATGCTCGAAATCCGGATCGTTGCAAAACAACTTACTGTGAGTAGGAACTATCCTTTTTTAAAAAGTATTCAGTTTTATTAGTTAGAGTAATTTCCCCCCTTTGGAAACCGACTAAAGGAGGCATTTCTGACGTATAGAAAAATTCGACAATTCTCGGTCCTCTTTGTTATTCCATTTTTACAATTCGAAACTTAAAATAGCGTTTATTATTTGAAAAGAATTTTACTAGAAATATATGGGGTTTTTTCCTTGCGTCTTTATCAAAAGCGAGATTAACGTTTTTTATATCGTCTAATTGTCTGTTCGTATAGGAAAAATAAAAAGAGCCTCAGTTTCTTTTATTATTCTCCTTATAAACTAATCATTCTTTCATCTACTATATTTTTAAAAAAGACCTTACACATCTAATCTGACGGTTTTTTGTACAGAAATGAACAGTGCAAAACATGTTTCAGCAGACCTGAAACGGGGATATTTAGGAGTATTTAGCCGGATTAGACCAGAGATTGGGCAGACGCTTGACTCGTTCCATTGAAAACATTAATCCATAAGGAAAAAAGTGGGCCAGAAAGCGAAAAGGAGTTTCCTGCCATGTGAAATCGGTTTTATTGGCGGGGGCAAACTAAAAACAAAAAAACTTCTCTTAAAACAACCCTAAACATTTGAAAAAATGGGTCAAATGGACACTGAGCCTCGACCGTTGAACGGTCCTAAAGTGAAAAACGTCTCAACAGCGAGACTAAGCGGACCAAGATAGATGGAAACCGTCATAAATCCAAAATATTCAGATTTTATAACAAATACTTGCACATTTTTTGAAAAGAAGTCACCCCGGGTGTTGGCAGTCGTCGGTCTTATCCGTCCAGCCGCCGAGGATGGACTCCGAGTGCTGTCAACACCCTTCTACTATTGTGTACCCAACATATACAGTTCCTAGATCCAAACCCATTCACACTCTCATTCATTCCTAAATACATTCTTTCCTATTTACATATTACACACTCAGTAACGGTAGTGGTGTAGTCGATATTCCTCCATCACCCTTTAGAAATGTTAACTAGCCTAATTGGGGTCGATGGGGTACTCAATATTCCGCCATCGACCTTCTCACACTACACATCCACGCTAATAAATACTCTCAACACTCGCTAGGGACACAAAAGTATAAGTATTTTATACAATAAAGCAGCCCTGTTTCCTCCCAAAATCGGAACAGGGAACTCAGATACTCGCTGCCGTGTTGAAGCATGATTCTCGATCGGAAGGTATTCCTGCCCGCTCTCTATACGGAGCAACGGATACCCTTGTATTAAGTGGGTCACAACGAGCAACCTTTTTCTACCCGCGGAATTTAGCCCAAAACGTATGCCTCCGTATGTCAACTTCGCATGGCCTATCGTTAGTCCGGTGAGGATGACCCTTCTACTATTCAGATCCTCCGAGGGCCATCTATGGACAGTGATGTTGATGCGCAAAGGCTTCTCTTTTAATCAAATCGTGTTTTTTATTGCGTTGTTGGCTAAGTCCTGAGAGATCGGAACAACCCTGCCTTAGTTGTCTCGTCCGGCTATTCCTTGTCCTCCCTACCTATGTGTTTGGGTACAAACTGATAAAATTTATTCACCTGAATAGTCATTCGAAAAAGATTGAATTAGATCAGTGTTTTTAAAATTTGATGCTACAGTAGAATATCTTCCTTATGTTGAGGGAGAAAACACCAGAGATAGCTTGTGACTAATTTACAAGAATTGAGTTGCGATAATTATCGAAGTTATAGGCTTTCCTCGACGTACAAATACTATCTTGATTAACAGAAGACCCCTGAATTGGGCAGGGAGAACAGGTGGCGGGTACCATACGATCTGTCCTGGGATCGTATCTTCTGGAAACGTGAGATGCTAGATAAAACATAAAAATTGTTGATTTACACAGCATGTTTACTAAATTCGAGCTCATAGAAGTCAGAGAGGAAATTAGGAAAAAATAAAATTTTTGTATGACACCGATCCATGCGGTCACAATCAAAAATGACCAGTTTAGCTCACTACAGGCAAAATTCGATCCTTTATATTGGTCGTTGCCAATTTAACAACCACTTTAAATAAATGGAAAAAGTTAGGTAGAAACCTGCCGAC